CTTGTGCTTGATTTAATGTTATTTTGTTTATCATGGCAGCATAGCATACAAAATCCACTGTTAATGTTACCAATAAGAGGCTACATAAAGTGATTAATCTGGAAATGAAATTAAACGTGAGTAAAGACTATGATGTTGGAAACTCGGTGATGGTTATTGCTCGCCAGTCAAGTATGTCCCAGTTTACCATAGGTATGATCTTGAAGAAAAAGAACAAAGTGATGGAAGCTGTTAAAGGATCTGCTTCATCGAAGGCAATTAACACTAGGAAAAATTTGAGAGTGGCTTATTTCAGATATAGAGAAACATCTAATGGCCTGGATTGAAGATCAGCCACAGAAATGTGTCTCTCTCCAAACCATGATGATCATGGGCAAAGTAATATGTTTGTTTGCAATGTTGAAAGAAAAACCTGGCTCAAACTGCAATGTTGAATTTACTGCTGGTTGTGGGTGGTTTAAATGACTCAAGAATTATTATTCATTACGTAATGTGAAAGTAAGTGGTGAGTCTGCAAGTGCTGATGTGAAGGCAGCCGAATAATGGCTTAAAACTCTAGATAAGCTGATTGTGGAGAAAAAGTACTTGCCAGAATAAATGTTCAATATGGATGAAGACTTCTTATTCTGGAAATGGATGCCTGAAACAACTTTCACCTATAGGGAGCCCAAGTCAATGTCAGGTTTCAAGGCTTTTAAGGACTGGATTACAGTTTTCCTTGGGGGCAATCTTACATGGTAAAAATTGAAACCCTTCGTGATATGGTACAGTGAGAACCCTAGGGCCTTTGAGCATATCAATAAGCATACACTACCAGTGTACTACAGGAGCAATAAAAAGTCGTGTATGACGCAGCTCCTATTCCAAGATGCCCTCCTGAATTGCTATGCCAGCAAAATGGAGAAATACTATTTGGAGAATAACGGATCTTTTAAGATTTTGCTTGCTGTTGATAATGCTTCCAGACATCTTCCTTTTATTGGTGATCTTCATCCCAATGTAAAAGTAGTGTTTCTCCCTCCAAATACTACCTCTTTGATCCAACCAATGGATTAAGTATTTATAGCAGCTTTTAAAGCCTACTACCTGAAGAGGTTCTTTGCCCAGGCTATTGCTGCAACTGAGGAAGACACTAATGCAATTCTGGAAGGCTTACAACATCCATGACTGCATTAAAAAACTTGCTTGGACTTGTGGTGATGTCACCAAGGAGTGTTTGAATGGCATCTCTGAGAAGACACTCAAAAGGTTCATCCATGATTTCAAAGAATTTGACAAAGATGAAGAGTTTGTAGAAATCAACAAGGCTGTGGTTGAGACAGCAATCTACTTTAACCTGAGTGTGGATAAGGATGACACTGAGGAGCTCCTAGAGGTGATTCCTGAGGAATTGACTAATGAGGAGTTGTTGGAACTAGAACAGGAACACACAGCCAAAGAAGAGGCAAAACAAAAGGAAATCGCAGGAGAAGAACTCCCAAGGAAATTCACAGTGAAGGGTTCAGCAGAAGTTTTGTGTGTGTGTGTGTGTGT